GAAGCAAAGCCAAAACCAGATGCTCATCAGCTGGAGAGAGTGAAGCATGTGTGATGATCTGTTTTATGTTTCCGATGCCTTCACAATGTTCTTCGATGTCAGGGCGTGGCCAACGCTGTGCCTACTTAATGTCTGTTCCAGCGAAAGTAGCAATATACACTTCATCGAAAACGCCTTCGCATTGGTATTCAGCATAATAAATGTAGAATTTTGACAGATTCGGTTATAAACGTTTTGGACGCTCTTAATTAATGCGAGGTTGTTCATTCAAGTATATTCTTCTCAATCCTCTGTAACCCCTTATGTGAAGTTATCACAATCAGCTTCTCCTGCTGGATTTCTCATTATAGACAGAAAAGCTCAGAAGTCTGAGCAATTCTGAGCAACTCCTCTCCTAAAAACAGTCTGTTAGTTTTTTTCGAGAAAATTTCAGATTGTTCCTGTGGGATGTTTGCTTTGACGTTTTCTGGGCCCCGTGGAGGTTTTTTCGAGGTTTGCGACGAGGCTTTTATCTGGAAATCTGTCTATGGCAATAAACAATTTTGCATATAAAAATAGACGCTGAGACTCAACGAAGGAAAAAAAGCGTCACACTATATCTTTTGAAGCTCCACCACTTGAAGCGATTTTTCGGAAATCTTTCATGTTTTTGACAGCTTCCAGGCCGATGTGAAACGACTTCCGGGTACAGCTAGTTACAGCTTATGGGCTATTTGGTGTCTTCAACTATATCAAGTCCCTCCATTAGGTGACACCATTCGGGCCGTTATCAAGATTTCTATCAGTTCACCGTACATCTTTTTTTGGAAACAACTTTATCACGTCTGCATAGGCAGTGAGCGTGAACTTATGCGGTGCTGTTCACGCCGGGCCCATGAGTTTTAAAATCATCAGTTTACAAATATTATTTCCGGTATCGTGCGAAGTATGGACTTCCATACTGTTTTCAAAAATAAATGTGAACTTTTCAAAAAAAAAACTTGTGAATTCGTTTCTATCGCTATTTATTTTTATATTTATTTATTTATTTATTTATTTGGTGCACGCTTAGGTGCGCTACAACAATTCCTCGATCACATTAATCAAACAAACTGCAGTCAAATGTGGGTAAATTATGGTCTAAAACAAAAGGTAGGAAGATCTCCAGTCAGGTGAAGAAAAAAGTGAATCAAAGTCAATGCGCATCTTAGAAAAGTTAGAAGCGTACTAAGGGCTGTATGATGGTTGAAAAAGCATCCATATTTGATTTCAGTAGGCGGATGACGCTAGGGATAACGTCACTCCCAGACAAACACTAACATACATGTGGAATCGGAGACTGAATTTTCGGATGTTAGGTATTCCCTACCCCTAACAATTCAGCCTCCGACCCGCCATTGCAATTATCACAGCCTTAGGAGAAACATCTGTTGTAGAAGGAGTTGTAGTGCAGGGGACTCATAACTAATTCTAATCCTCCTCACTGGAGATCTTTCACCTAACGAACAAATCAGGTCACAAATACAAAAAAATTCCAACAACACAGAAAAGGAATAATGACAAACAAGAGAAAGAATTGAAAGTCAAGTAGCGGGCCCTTTATTCTCCACGAGTCGACCAGAAATGACGATTACTGCAAAATACATTAGCGTAAAAAACGCAAGCAGAACGTTGAAAGGATAATTTGAACGTATTTCAAAAGAGTTTTCAAAAGTCTTGGATCCCAAGACGTGATAGCAAGTCGATTTTCTTCCTTCTATTTTTGAAAACGCTACTGTTTTGCGCAGCAAGAATTTCAGCTGGTATCATCTGAAGTCATTTTAGGGAGTGATACTTTACAGTGTTGTCGTTTCATAAGCTTAGGACGCCGCAAGGGGAGCTTGTACGAGAGCGCACTCTCACAATGCTAACCAGGAATGGATGATTGGTCGAAGTGGCCATATGTAAAGAGACCTACACCGGTGGATGCGTTTTTGGACGCTGATCTCGAATCTGCTTTCCAAATCTGCCAAACGATTTTCCGAATGGAGTTATGAAGGAAAGTAGTGCAGCGGTAGTAGTCCGGGTTCACGTGCGAGACGTCGTAGGATCGATTCCCTGGCGGGTTCTCTTTTTTGCCTTCGCTGCAAAATGATGAAAAGGCTCCCAGCTACCTTACTCGATCAATGCTTGCCTGTAGTTACCCGTGCAAAGACTTTGCGAAGAGTTTCTAATCAGTTTCTGCGGTACTTCACTAAAGACTGCACATGGAGCCCACAGAACTCTTGGCAGACGTTTTTGCAGCAAACAAGTGTGATATTCGTGTTCGGGAGATTAAAATACCCCTAGGGACAAGTTTGTAGCCAAATTTGAGATTTCGACCAAATTTCGAAATAAGCTGGGTGGGTATCTATCCATTCATCCATCAGCCTATCATCGAAGCCTATATAGCCTTGAGACGATATAGTTTTTTTTGGTTTCTGAAGAGTGTAAAGCAGTGTCTGGTTTTCTGTTCGCATGATTTCAACACCCACATTTTATTATTTTCAAATTTAAAGGGGTCGCCGTCGTCCAAAATAGGTCAACCCTGGAACTACCGGCTATGGATATGTAGCATCAATGAGTGACTCGCCCACTTTTTTGAGATTAATTCAAAATCTCGAATTTTTCTAGAAATCGGCCCCAGGAGTTATTGGACTGCTTGAACACAGATCTCACATTCGTTCACTCAAAAACGGCTGAAGCGCGCGCTCCGTATACTGGCGCGCCTTAACCTTATGTAGTGGCATGCAAGTTAGGAAAAATTTCGAAGTTATCGACCTCAAACTCATCCAAAAGCAAGTAGGGCTGACCAATGATGAAGGAATCATGTTTCACTACTGCCAAACAGTCAGTCACAAAAAATGCAAAATGGAAAACAAGGGGCGGATCCGAACCACTGACCCCGAAATCCCAAGACCACCACCTTAACCACTAGGCCACCAGCACTCGATGAGAGGCTCACTGCTTCCTTCACAAGCCGCTGCTGCTGAGGCCTCATTTCTCACTGTGTTAAACTGTGTGAGGGAACAAAAAACCTCCGTGACTCCGTTCAGCGAATCGTTTGGCAGATTTGGGAAGAAGATTCGAGATCAGCGTCCGAAACCACATACCATGATACTTGTCTCATTTCATATGGCCACTTCGACCCTTCATCCTTCCCTAGTAAGCTCAGTAAGCACTTGGCTTCAGTTTCAGTTCACCCTTCAAGAGCTTGAAACAAAACACAACATCACTAAAAATGCGTCGATAGAGAAGCGTTTTGAGCTTGAATCGATGCAGTCGCTCTCTATAACCGGGCATGCAATCGGGGTAGTCTCTCGGAGAGATCTTAGATTATTTGTTAATTTAGCTATTTTACCTGCGAGGAATCGATTAGGTACAAACATTTCAGTTCAGTCTGATATATGTACCTTAAAGCTTCTGCTATTAGCGTCTGATATAATGAATCGAAATGTTCCCAACAGGTCTGTTCCTGTCGTATAGCATACTTTTACGAAGTTATTTTACGACCCCCTTTTCCACACCTCCACCATCTCCATCTTCCATCAAAACCCCGCCCACTTTTTCCTCCAAAAATGCCGTCGAGCGGGGGGGTATATAGTCACTGTGAAACGGTAAATATCTCCGAAAATTTCCTTCTATTTCCACATTTCAACCCATTTTTTACCTACTCCCACTCACTCACCCAGCCTACTACCCACGAAATCTTAGTTTCACCTCAATCCCACACGTGATTTCGAGCGACTAAAGTGGGTACGACCCCCCCTCCTACAAACTCAACCAGGTACGACCCCCCCCTACAAACTCAACCAGCGTAGGGTACGACCCTGCCCCCCGTTGTTACTCGTAACAACGTAGGGTTGACCTGTTCCCAACCGCTCCCGTAACCATTACTTCATCTAATATATGAATAATCTGTTCAACTGTAAATGTGAGGGATCTATTTGAGTGTTAAGTGCTGTAATAATGGAACAAATAATCGAATATTCTTTACTTTGAGAAGAAAAAGATCAAATTGCTATTCTAGCCAGCTATGTATTCTTTCCGCCTTTGTGTTTATATTTGCATACCACAAGCCCCTCGCTCGAGTAGAACTAGATTGAGCGCCCTTATGGGAATAGACTGCTAAAATAAAAACACCCACACCACTCACTTTTACGAGAAAGTCATTCAAGATTCACTCAATTTTTCCGTGTCAACTAATGTTGTAGAAGGACCCTTGCACTTGAGTCTCTTGTCGTTCTGTCTGGCCGCCCTAAACAATAGCTGTCTCTTCACTAAAAAACGGAAATCGTTAATGGATTGATCATTGGAATGCGCGCGCATTGTATCATCTTTCTATTGTGAGGTTTTTGATAGCAAATTTGGTTCCAAATCATCGGTAATTAATGAAAAGGTGGCAAAGGCTTTTTGATATATTGTGAGCGCTCAGGCCTCGCTTGTCACAAAAACAAACAACAAGGTAGTGAAGCCTTTCGGCATTGATCTATGCTTTTTCGAATGTGCCGCGTTTTCTATACTCGATATCGAGAGTTGGGGTAGGCGTGTCACCGGAAGTGACGTGCACTTGATAGAAGCTATGTGGATAAGCTGCTTCCAACATACATCGCTGGATATCAGCAAAGCATGCTGGCAACAGCTTATCCACGCACTTCTATCAAGTGCACGTCACTTCCGGTGACACGCCTACCCCAACTTTCGGATATCGACTGTACGTAGTCAAAATCCTAGAGTTTTGTATGCGACTGATAGTATGTATATAAGATGTGAGAGGTCAGATACTTATGTTCAAATCAGTGTCTTAATCATACCATTAAAATCCAACATACCACGCTACAATTGACTGACCCTGATTGAAGATGGAAAGCTGGGTTGGCTGGAGGGTACAGGTCGAGTCGGTCGCACATTGAATTCCACGAATTTTGGTTCTGACGCCTCTTATCAATTACTAGGATAGGTTATCACTTTTATCACCCGCAAATATGTTCCCATCCTACCGAATGGAGATAAATATTTTACAAGGAAAGCATTACTGGGTATTTTTGCAAAGCGCTTTGAATTTTATTGACAAACGTATGCCACAGCGCATATTTTTTTTTTCACAAATTCGATCACACTATAATGTAGCGAAGAACTATATTACACAATGTACAGTGAGGATGCTACAAAACACCTATTTGCGATCGTGTGAAGCGACTTTCGCCGAGTTCATCGCCTCTGGAACTCCAGTATTTTAGCGGAGAAACTGACAAATCTCTTTTATGGTTGGCAAGGGAAAGTAGACTGTAATGGGTCATACTACGAAGAAAAATGTTGTGTTTTAAAGCCACTCTTGAATTTTAGGGTGAAAAACTGTAAGAAGTTTCCTTACAACCTGATAGATAAGCGATTATGGCATCTTGAACAGGATCTTCTTTCAGAACTAAGCGATGGTGATAAAATCATCACGGCATGCTCCAGTTTTAATTTAAACGCCCAGAGGCGTGTCCTCCCATTAAGGGGGCGGTTACCTTAGATAAGGCTTTCGTGGGCTACTAGAGGCCCGCCCTTCGCCGTGAAAGCGCAACGCCTCGGCTCTTCGAGACCTGGTCTACGTTTGCAGTAGACATATTCCCCATTCTTGACGTCCTAGGTTATCGTGCCCTTTGCTTTTAACACTGAAGTTCAGAAATTCACTCTCTATTGCGTGCAACTCTGCGAACTGTGGAATAACCCTTTTCCACACCTTTAGGCTCTCCTTTTTCAACTGTCTTTCTCTCCTCTGGGTTTCCACTTATTGTACAAGTGTCGGCCTCTTTGAAATTTGGAATTTTGTTATGTTGCCATATTCCAAAAACTCCACAGGAAATATGTGTAGATGAGACCAGCTCCTTTCACTTCTCATATTGCTCGTTCATTTTACAGGCGCTCCATTGCTGATTTTGTTACTGATAAATGATATATCAACTTGGAATCAGGAACTGCAATGTTAAATCCTGCTCCCGTTTTCTGACCCTGGTAGTTCTGCAACCTTCAAATGTACATATTTTTACAGACAGTCGTTTAATCAGACTTCTGTTGCAATATGGACGAGAGAAAAATGTCGATTTTGTCGGACATCGAGCTAGTCCGGGCGGTAGTGATCGGCGATGACCAATCGGTCATCACAATGATGATGGAGAAGTATGCCCAATACAATGGACTTCCGTATATCAGACAGGTATCACTTTCACTGTATGATAATACATCCTTTTGGCTTTTAAGATGAAAAGCAACTTTCAAAATCTGCTGTTTATTTTCTGGATGCAGTTGATTTTTAGTGATGCAGCTGCATATGTCATCATTAAAAATGAGAAATAAAACTTTCGCCGCTGAAGTCTCTTTTTGGATTGCGCCACGCAATCTTTCGCCATTCCAAATTGCGTGGCATTTGAATGCAGTGTGGCCTACATAGTGGGTGGCAGAGGTCAGCCAACAATTCAGTCTTTCCACCCAAGTCTGGGACCAAATGACATACCAAGGAGAGACGAAATGCTTGGTTAGCCTGGGGTGGATTCGATCCAAGGACCATGCGCGTGGGAATTCGGGCCAACTGCCGCTACGCCATCTCCGCTCCATTATATCATTGCGTTACTTTTGATGCGCTTCTTCAATAGCTCTGTATGAATCTAGCCCCGCGCATCTTCAGGCCGATGTCAGACTTTGCGAATCGCGCGATTCGCTACTAGCGATTCGCTAGCGTCCGCGGTCGCGTTGCGGTACCAGCCAATTGAGTGATTCACTGGCCGCGACGCGACCGCACCGCAGACGCTAGCGAATCGCGCGATTCGCAAAGTCTGACATCGGCCTCAGGGTATGTATTATATTTACTTTGGACTGGTTCTGCGAGATTTTGAGAATTGATTCGTGCATCACAGAAAACAATTGGAAACAGGACAACAATTGAATGTTCACCAAAGCTGCAGCACATAGAGCTAAGAGCAAAGGGTAAGGTATCATCAAAAAATCGGTGAACCCGAGCCGTGAGATTTTATTTGATACCGCTTCCTAGTTATAGTTCCGCAGCCTCGCAATTCACCTCTGTCTTGCTTACCCTTTCCTCCTCCCGTCTTCCTAAATAATTTCTGACATCACCTAAAAAACGGCTGTCGAGGTGTACACTGCAATGGGAATAGCGCACACTACGAAATTTTTGTGGAGCCTATCCCGGCAAATTTGGCCCCTTACGCTACTGCAACCCCAGAAAGGTCGTGAAGTTCTCGAAACTGGCTCAGGTCAGTCTGATTCGTACATGTACGTATCCTGTGCCATGAGCCACCAACGGGTTCCATCGTTCGAAAGTGGTCAAAAATGGTATCCTGGCCAAAACCCTAGCGAAAGGTATGGTCAGGTTGGAATAGAAATCCCATCCCTGATCCCATCGGCGTTATTGCTACAACATTTCACAGCTCATCATTAACTTGGCTTGGCTCAAAACACTAAAAAGATTTTGATAAATATTGGGTTACTGTAGATAAAGAAAACCATGAATATGCACGTGGGGAGCGTCCTCAGCTGAAGCCATGGATTTTTTTAGAAAAAATGAAATCTTTTCTTTTGGAGCATTTAGGGACGTCTGTCTTTAAAATACACACGTAGAAAAGAAGTAATGGCGACAGGAGGTGGTGGTTGTGGCGAGGGGCTCCTATGAAAATCAGAACTGCGCACTCGCCCGGAACCTCTTCGAAGCTGTGACCCACTTTTTCCTTGACTGCAAGCAACACTGACAAGCTTTACGGGTTTTCCTTCGTAAACCCTCTATTTCGGAAAACGAGAAGAGCGTCGAGTGCAGACCACACACCACAAGTGACGACGGCCAAAAAAAGTGGTTTTTCTTTTCTTTTTTCTTGGCCATCGTCACTTGTGGTGTATAGTCTGCACTGGACGCTTTTCCTGTTCTCGAGGATAAAGGGTAAATCAAGTGATAATATCTGAAAATTCCTCCTACTACTCAAGTCGTTTATGCATAGAGCTCATTTCGATAGTAAAGGGACTTTCGCTTTGGTGTTCCTTAGGAAGGAGATGCTTAGTTAATAAGATCCATAACTTTTTCGATGACAGTAATGGAAAATTCTAGGAATTTCCGAAGGTTGAGTGGCATTTAAAAGCTTCTGGGGGAGCTGCTAGATTAAAAATTCTACCGAAAGCTTCCCTTGACGAGTGCCTGATTAATTTTCGGTAAAATAGATGAGAATAGCGTCACGAATATTCGCAGCTTTATTGGATGAAATAAAAATTCAATTTCAGAAAGGAGAGCTGATCACAGCGTTCAATGGCCGAAAATGCATCTTCAAGTCAGTCTCTCTTGAGCAGACGGATCGAGGTTTCGATGATCCCCATGTATTTCTTTTTGTCAAACAACTGCAGAGGAAACGGTCAACTTGGTGAGTTGAGCAAAATTTTACAATAAAAAATCCACCTTGAAAAATGGGCATTGAAGGAGTTCAAAGGGGAATTAAGCAGTAACTGAGTCTGGGTAGCGGGTTTCACATATGCAGTAAATGCTGGCTGATTCGCCATCAAAGGAAGGCTGATAACTATGGACATAATTGTCTTCTTTTTTGAGCGATGCACTCATGAGTTATGGGACAGTCCAAAAACCAATGGGCTCTCAGAGATCTCAAACAAGGGATAGCATGGGAACAGGTGAGACGCAGACAACAGCACATTCGCAGCAGTGGGTATAACTACATGAGAGAGGCCTAAAAATGCAGCTGGTGAGCCCTTAGCATCCTCACTACTCATTTTTTTTGATAGTGGCACTACCCCGGAGATTAGTGACACAGCCAGCTTCACTGTAGGAGCTGCTCCAGCGAAGTAGCCAGGGAGGATGCTCTTCTAGGCTGGGATATTCCAAGCATTTGACTTCTTATGTAAATAAATTGTGAAGGCGATTGACTGCAGCCACCTTGCACCACACTCATTCCAGATCTTCAATACGGTGGCTGAACGTATTCGTGGTGTGCCGTACGTTCTCGTCGGTACCCAAATCGACAAACGTCTTTCGATGCTGATTGAAAACTACGGATGTGGTCATACGAAGTACTTGCCGATGCCGTTGAACAAAGCTGAGTCGTATGCGAAACGGATTGGGGCCAGCAAATACCTCGAATGTTCAGAGGTAACCGGGGTAAGTTCTGATACCAATTTCCGCGATCTCAACTTGTTAACAAATATGCATGCGCTTCTTGTGAAAAGAGTACTTTTTTCAATTTAGCGCTTGAGATTTTTGAAGATAATAGTCAGCTTTGGGGCATGTTTTCAAGAGAGATCTATGCATGCCTGTTGCTCAGAAATAGCAAATTCATGCCTTCTACTCGAGAATAATAATAATTCACGGAAGATAATAATAATGCGGAAAATCTTATGTAAGGGGAATTCTGATTGAGTTACAGAACCGAGTTAGCTACTAAGTCGGCAATTGAGTTTCGTCACTCAAAATAGAGCTATAATTGTTAGCGAAGCTAAACGTCGTTAGTAAAGTATTGCTGGGGCGCAAAAAGAGAGCACATTTGTAGATATCGAAAAGTAGTGAGTAAAATACATTTGCTAAAAAAAACTGGATTCCGATAAGGTGTTTGAATGAGTGTTAATATCTTTTTGTGGGGTACCCCCCAGGAGGCCCGTCGCGCGGCAAGAAGGCAAAGTCAGCGGACGAGTCGCGCGCGCACTATAGGGATTTCGCGTCAAGTTAAATAGAGTGTCCCATTGCACGTCCTACATCGCACATCACGCGCTGCAACTCGTCCGACGACTCTGCCTTCTTGCCGCGCGACGGGCCTCCTGGGGGGTACCCCTTTTTGCTGCATTTTGTCCGCTACGTAAGAAAAACTGCACAGGTTAGCGGTGTCTGTGCGTGTACAATAACTCCAAAGCACAAGCACGGGGTCGCAAAATGCTACGCCGCGCAGCTCACCGGCTACACAGCGGACACTATGAAAAGAAAAAGCGGCCAGAGACGACCAGGTCCTGCACTCTAACTGCTTCTTGCAGAAAAAGACTTATTGTATCAGTACTTACTATTAGAGGAGCACCATTATATTATAATTATATGTATATTAGTTTAGAGAGCATTGAGTGTAGAAGGAAAGGGCACCGTACTCCATGAGGTAGAATCTCTGCCAATTGCGATTAACTTACCTACTGTTCATATAGAAAGCTTAGACAAAACATCGTCCTAGCTTAAAACAAACAAATATAGCATTAAAGCAACAGTTCAGGAACGGTTTCGCGGGAAAAAACCACCAATAATGAAGTTGTAGATGAAAACCAGACGATTAATGTATGAAAAACTGGAAAAAAACGTCGGGGAGGGTCTTAGACAGGTACTCTCCCTCTGCCGCTCAGCAATGGATAAAGACGCACGTTGGACGAGTTGTCTGAACGTGCCCGCTGTAAACGCGCTCCATTTTTCAATCAATTTTCCCTGTGGTCCCAAAACGAGCACGATTGCCGACGCGTCCAATGACGGCCGGCAAGGGGGCGGGATTGGGGAAATCCCCAAGAACACCCATGTTTGAGGGACTTTCCACCCTGTTTTTGAGTTTCTGAGGTAAGTTCGTTTATTATTTCCACTGCATATGTTCTTCACTAGGGCTCGTGTATCCCTCAGTAGTAGTGGCATTGAAATTTTCGGACCCTCCCTGAACTGTTGCTTTAAAGCAGAAGTTCGAGTTTGAAATTGTTTTCAGTTCTTATTACTCTAGAGAGTTTTCCACTTACCCCTTCATTGTTTTTGGCACGCTTTTCTCGGAACTTTTCGGAGCAAAAGTGTTTATCTCATACAATCGAGAACGTCCTCCACTTCGACTTTTTAAAGCCTCTGTGAGTGTCTCTCCGGCCGCAACTTTCCTAAATGTCCCAGAATAGAGCTGTGTGTCTATATGTATTACGTCACTCACGAAAAAACTAATTAACGAACATATTTTAATGATATTGATATAGTTATTTATTTATTTATTTTTATTTATAGTTATTTTTACGCTCAGTAAAGAATACTGGGCGCGCCAAAATCAGTATGATGCGTGGAAAAATCATGCAACAGTGAGCGTAAGGCGTGAAAAAAACACTGAAAAAAGGTAAGGAGAAAAAGTCTTGAAATGAAATCTGTAATAAGTCAAAATTCTACAATTGCTTCCTTCATATTAGCACAATGAATGAAATGAGAGGCAGTTGGACTCAATGTAATCAAACTGACGAGAAAGTGAGGGGCGAGGAAGAGAAAGAGAGACCTGATGAAACTTCAAATAGTTAGTTAGCAATAGTTAGTAAATAATGGATTTCCTTGATTGCAGGAAGGCTTGGACGAAGTGTTCGAAGAAGCGTTTGAAATTGGTCATAGTTATGCACTCGAACAACTACGTGGTTATCGACGGAGGATGTCCGCTGCGACTCAAATACCGAAAGATCGTAAATTGAGCTGCATCACTCAGTAGTGACATTTTAATAATAAATTATTGAATCTTTCCTTCACATTCACCAACTCTGCAACCCCAGACTCTAGCTATCCCCCCCCCTCGCCACCCGCAAGCACAGCAGCGCACTGCCAGTGAGTCCTGGACGCAAACTCTGACACTGCTCCTTTCTAAGGCGTCATTTCTTTGATTTGGCTCCTTGTATGTACATACAACGCGTTTCGTGAGCTCTTAGCTAATTAATTTTTGACACAATAAGGACAGTCAATCATATGGAAATGGAAAATAGAGTTAGAGCGTGGGGAAATCAAATACAAACTGGCAATAAATGAGGTCATTTCTGTGCTATTTAGTAGAATAGGCAAAGAGTTGAGAAGTCATAAGGACACGTTATGGATTTGGGAACGGCGTAACGACATGACCGGAATGAAGATGTATGCTTTTATCAATTTATTATTTATTTATAAAGCAAAATGCAATAAATAATTTTGTTATTGAGCGATAAATCTGTAATGAAAGCAGACTGCAGGATTTGAAGAAATGCAGAAAACGAACAAGTGAATATTAACATGAATGTAAGTGAAAAGAAGGGGCGGAAGTGGTGTAGTGGCAAGTGGCACGCTTACCACGCGAGCGGTCCGGGGATCAAATCCTGGGTCGTGAGTCGCCCGGGCCAACCAAGCCTTCCATCCCTCCGGGGTCGGTTAATTGGTACCAGACTTGTCTGGGAGGATAAAAACACTGACTTGTACATCGGCTGGCCCCCGCAAGTCATTGTATAGGCCACATCGCATTCAAACGCCACTACGAATGTACAAATGGAAGTAGAATGCGTGCCGCATCCCAAAAACGGGATTGATCAACGGCAAATGCTTTATCCTTTTTTAAGTAAAATTGATGTAAATAAATGTAATTGATGATCAGTGGAGTGCGTTTCATTGACTTATATCCCAGAGAAAAAACATTCGGAATCGAATTTAAGTGGACGCATCGAAGTGCAGCTTCTTCCTAATTTTTTTTGCTGTGCTTGCATAAATAAAATTGTGTCACTAAAGTGGCAGAGAGAAGGTAAGCCCCCTCGCTTGGTACAGACAGGATTCGTGAACTATGTGGGTTGGTTTCCAAAAAACACCTTGTTCTTACAGAGAAGTAAATACAGTACTCGCCGTTTGAAATCGAAAATTCACGCGAATAACGCGAATCCTCGTTAATTTCGTGAATTCGTTATAACTCGGTTCAAAATTGAGATTTTCAAAATCTGAAAAAAGCGTTGAACTCAGCTCGTCGAGTTCTATAAGAATATGCTTTTAAACTTTTAAAAAGCCCTACTTCAGATTGCGCCATGCACTCGAGCTTTGGCTCGAGAAAAAATTGTTTGAATGTGGTGCGCATATAATCCCGCTTATGCATCATGATCTTTCTTCAGAGAGATGGGTCTCAGTAGTTGCTCCAGAACGCGCCGCGTATTCAACATGGTCCATTGTATTGTGAATGGATCGATTGCTTTTTTCCAGATTTCATGGTCCCTATTCCATAGCGGCGCGTTAAATGACTTAATGTACATGACTGCGCTCAACATCTCCTCCTCTCGTGTTCAAATGGAAATCATAGATCATTTTTCAGCAGGACAGTTAGCCTATTTGGTGAAATTTTCCAATGTTTGAGCGAAGGTTTTTCCGAAATCTGAGGAGGTAGCGGGGAAATTCTCTTCACTGTTGTAGAGTACGCTTACTTGTGTGTAGAAATAAGATGATATACTTGCTTGTAGACGAGCGCTTCCGCCGTGCTGTGGCTGTGAACATGCCTCCTCGTCATGCCCTTGTGAAAAGATCAGATTTTTTTTGCATTTCCAGATGAGCTCGCAGAACTGAAATGTGCCCCGTTAGATTCCCCGTGAAAAATGCTATCGAATGATATGCATTACTCCTCCCCAGTTGAAACTTTGGTTTTTCACCGTTTTCAGCCTTCCCCTATTGCCGATTGGGCACTATCCCACGATTACTGCCCCAAAATCTCAAAGTTTCATTTTTCGTCGAAACTTTGCCTATTGGGGTAATTCGATGCCCTGATTACGAATATGACATTCATTTTTGATGCTGGTGTCATTTGGCGCCAATTGGCGCCAAAGACGATTTCGCGTTTTTTTCGTTTTTTCGTTATAAATCGGTTTAAAATTAAGATTTTCAAAATCTGAAAACAGCCTTGAACTCAGCTCGTCGAGATCTATAAGAATCCGTCCTAAAGTTTTCTAGCGGCACTACACTGGATTGCGCCATGCACTCAATTTTCATCTCAAAAAGTAGTTGCTCGCATGTGGTGTGTATCTAATCCCGCTTATGCGAGCTGACCGCTACACAGAAAGAAGGGTCTCAAAACATACCCCAGGATGCGCCACGTACTCAATCTAATCCACTACATTGTGAGATTAGATGAATGTTATTTTCCGAATTCTTAGATCTTCATTTCGTTTTTAAGCGCTTACTGGCTTTACGTGTTCCCTCTGCTCTCAATATCCCATCCTCTGTATATCAAGTGGAATCTTTGAACAGTTCTCAGCAGGCATAGTGGGCCTATTATGTGACATTTTCCATTTTCAGAGGAGATGTTTTGCAGAAAGCTATGAAGATAGCGAGGAATTATCTTCACCAGCGTAGACTACGGTGACTCTTCTGTAGGAACTGTATGAAAACCTTGGTGGCAGGATGAGCTTCCTTCCGTAGTAAGGACCCCAAACATCACACCTCGTCATGCCCTTGCGATATGATCAGATTTTTTTGGTTCTCCAGATGAACATAGAAGACTGAGATGTGCACCATTCAATTCCCCATAAAAATACTGTCGAACGGTATACAACTCACTTTGGAGAACATCTAGTTTACCTGCCACTAGATCCATTTTGTGACATTTCCCAATTTTCGAAGGGATGTTTTGAGGAAATTCGAGAAGGGGGAGGGACGAACT